CTACACAACTGTACACTACATCACCCAGTGTATAAGCTTCGCCCCACCCCCACCACACCCTCACGCCGTTGACCCCGGCAGGAACCCGACTTCTCCACGACTCGTTTAAAGAACCATTCCCCCATCCCTTTCTCAACGGCTACATCCTATCCTCCTCCCACATCCCGCTCCCCGAGACCCTCCTGCCCTCTCGCCCTTCATTATTTCTCACTTGAACTCCCCCACTGCCCATCCGCAACCCCATCACCTTGTGACGGTCTTTACATCCACAACTCGCCTCGGTCACTTTTGTTCACGACAACCTTTCCGACCAACTCCGATCCTCCCCGGTGTTGTCACTTCCGCACCACACATGTACCAACCATTGTAGCTTCACACCTTCGTTCTTATCGCCTAATCCCATCTGCTTTTCCGCTTTCGCAATCTCTCGTACAACTCTGCTTCTTGTGTTGTGCCATCAAAATCAACGTCGCCCTCACCCGTACCCAGCATTGAAACGAGTGTGCCTTGCACACACCACACGACCAACATTTTTCCTACTAGTTTGTCATTTTTGACTCACCTAACTCCCTAACTCCAGCCTGCCACGCTGATCCCATCCGCTCACCAGAAGCCTGCCTAATAGCTCGCCCGCATCGCCATATTACCCCAAGCTGCAAAGCCCACCTCATACACCTTGATTCATCATGGATATTGCCACAAACCCCAAGGGTGCCGTAGTCAGCACTCCTCCCCATCACCCGCGCCAGTCCTTCCCGCACCTGCATCCAATCGAGTGTCTGCTCTCATCTCCATTGACTCCTCTAGTTCGCCGCCGTCGCTACCCCTTTTTCCCCATCACCCGTCCTGAGTCGCTCTCCCTCGCTGAGATGCTTAAGAGCGCTTTCCGCCATCGCTCGTATCAGTCGTCCCTCGTCAGAAGAATGAACAAGATCGGCAATGCTCACTATATCCCGAAGCGCCCTGTCGTCGTCAATTGGCTTATTGAAGTCTGCGCTAGTTTTCAGTTTGAATCAAGCACACTCCACCTCGCAGTACGCCACATGGACTGGTACATGAGTGGAAGACCTATGGAGCAGCACTGTTGGCAGCTATGCGCCATCACCTCGCTGTTTATTGCAGCTAAATGCGAGGAAGCTGGGAACAAAGTGCCCACCGTGGCGGATCTTTCGTATCTCTGTGAAGGCGTGTACACTCCAGAGGCATTGCGCAAAATGGAGGTCACGATGCTCACCGTTTTGGGGTGGGATCTAGTTGCCAAAACGCCGGTCCATTTTCTCACTTTTTATCTCTCATTATTTCGTCGTCGATTTAACGCTGTGGCCACAATGCGAAAGACAGAGGCCCAGGTAGAGTGGCAGGGGAAGGGGAAGGCCGTACCTGCACTTTCCGTTTCGCAGGACGACCCGTCGGAGACGTGGCTGTGGGATGATGACAGTGATGATGAGAGTTACAGAGCGGACATGGACATGTGTACCTGCGAGGGGGAATGCTACTGCCTGGATGATATGGGGGACGAAGATGACCTGGAGTGTGATGAGGAGATGCTGTCGGAGGGATTCACGCCATCGGACAAGAAGCTTGACGACAATGCCGAGACCGAGGAATCGTACGAGCTACAGAGAATTGCAAATTGCCTTCTGGATCTCGCGCTCTACGACTTGGACCTGATGGCAGAGTTCAAACCTGATGTGATCGCAGCAGCTTCGCTTGCGATGGCCGTGGATATCGCAGAGATCGAGGGTGTCGAGCTGGTGGACATTTGCACTGTAACATGCTTGTCGCCACTCGAAATGGGGCCCTGCCGCGCCATCCTCTCCGAACACTTCACTCGCGCTCAGATCGCTTCTCAGGCGTTCTGAGGAGTTGATTAGACAACAACTAACAAATGTGCACACAACTGCTACTCTTAGATCGTTAGACCAACAAAAAAACTAACCTGTACATTTCGCGCCAACAGCTTTTCGCGCTGCATATCTCATGAAAGATATCGGTTGGAAAGCGGTGTATATCTAGACATGGGCGGCTTCAACATCAGGGATTTTTATTGACGTCCAGGCTTTTAGTTAGACAGCGCTTACGACGTAAAGCAATATCTCGGTTGGTTCTCGCTCGCACTCCACAATCTTTCTGATGTGATGCCGTCAACGGTACGGACTGGCACCTTTTTTGACCCTGACGCAGGTGATTGAATTGGCGGCATTGACCCCCCGAGGTCAATCAGCATTTGCTCAATTCGACAGAGTTGTACGGATCGAGGATATCGCTGCTCTATACACAACGTTCAGGTATCGATGGCGAGATGTTCTCAGGAAGAATCGTACTGCTGTAATGTACAGTAGAGATAAGGCACATCATACTCTTTTTCTCATTTCTACTACGCGTCCAAAATTGCGAGCGAACTGACGATTACGCCGATTGACTTGTGTTCCCGTTCGAGATAAGCGTGCCGCGGACATATCCCTGTTCACCAGAGTGGATATCAGCGAACAATTCCGATTGCGGCGGCTGCTCGGCGGTCTCGGCCACCACAACGGCGGCATCGACTTCCTTGCGGATCTTCTTCTCTTCGGCCTTGAGCTCCGCTGCTGTAGCCCAGCCATTCTCAATCAAGCGGAGCTTGACACGATCAATAGGATCCCGGCTCGTTTTGACCACGTTAATTTCATCGACGGATCGATAGCCCAAACCTTGATCCGAGATACTATGTCCCTTATAACGGTAGGTATCCATCTCAACATAGATCGGCCCATTCTCACGAGCGTGATCAGCAGCAAACTTCATGCCCTCTCGCACAGCAAGCACATCCATGCCGTCAATTCGGATACCCGGAATATAATCGCCTCTGGTATAATACTCCTCCGATGCGGACGCCCTCTTCGTAGACGTGCCCATGCCATATCGATTATTCTCACACACAAAAATAGCCGGCAACTTCCATAAAGCCGCCATGTTGATCACCTCAAAGATTTGCCCCTGATTCGCTGCACCGTCTCCAAACATGGTAATGGCGACGTTGCCAGTGTTGTTGTACTTTTGCGCAAACGCTAGGCCCGCTCCCAAGGGCCCCTGGGCGCCGACAATGCCATTTCCCCCGTAGTAATTGTTCTGGGGCTTGTATAAGTGCATGGAGCCGCCCTTCCCCTTTGAGCAGCCCGAGTATTTCCCCGTAAGCTCCGATAAAATGCTCTCGACCGTATCCCCCCTCGCGAGTTGCTGACAATGGTTGCGGTATGCGGTAATGAGGCAGTCATCATACGTAACGGCGGCCTCCATTCCGACGGCCACAGCCTCCTGGCCATTGTACAAATGGCAGAAGCCGCGGACCAGCTGGCGCGTGTACAGGGAGTCGGCCTCCATCTCCATGCGGCGCATGCGGTACATCAAGCGAAAGTAGCCATGCAACTCGTCGGCGCCCGAGACGGCGACGGGCTCGGGGGCGTCAATCTTGTGCGTAGCAAAAGGGGTGATTTCAAACGAGACGGACTCGGGCGTGGGATCTGGGACCTGTCGCGGGAGGAAGATGGAGATGAGCACACAACGGCGGTTAGAGGAGGTCGGCGGGGCGGGGCGTGGGGGCCAATCGCATGCGAGGGAAGGTCGAGATGCACGCACATCGGGAACCGCGGCGGGACGCGGGGCGGGAGCGGCGGGGGTGGAAGGGTCGCGGTGGGAGAAGAGGCGGGCCCAGAGGGAGGTGGAGAAATGGCGGAGGTAGCTGACCTGAACGGAAAGGGCGCGGGTGGTGAGGGCCGGGAGCGACGGGAGCGACGGGCGGGCGGCGGCGCGCACGGCGAGGGCTGCGGCGGCTTTTCGCAGCATAGCGGGTGTGTGTGGGAGGGGGGCGGGGAGCAAAGCGGCGGGCGACGAGGAGGAATGCGAAGCGGGAGGGTGGTGGTGGGAGGGCAGGACGGAGCGGGATCGGAGCGAATTGCATCGATGGGGCACTCGGTTCATCATTGCTGGAAGCGGTTGCGATTGGCGCAGAGAGATAGCATGGTATCTCTCCATGACTGGCTTTCAAAATTACAGTACCACGTGTGCCACGGGTCATACAGTGCAGCACGTGTACACGTATCGTACACGTGTACTTGTAGCAATCTGGATTCCCGTATGAGCAGCCGGATGGGCGACGAGACAGACTCCTGGAATGCATGCTCCTTTTGGCCACCCGCGTTGTGACAAGACTGCTGTCGAGCGCACGTCAGCAGTCCGGTGCACTCGTTTTTTCCACCACTACAAACACACTCGACCTCGCCCGCAACCTCTTTCGCTTCAACCATCCCATCCCCCATCCCCTCAACCCCTCCCAACTTGTACCACCGTCTTCCCCCCATCCCCGGCATTGCTTCTTCTGCACCAACTCACCAACGATGGATTTCCAATGACTATCTTCTTCCACCCGAAGCCCTGGCTGGGGCTGTTCCAAACCGACTTCGTTTCCCTTCTAGAGGAGCCGAAACGGCCCTCCCCCGCCGCCCTTCCTTCTGACCAACCCGAGCCGAGGTCCGAAGCAGGCCCTTCCACCGACGAGCCCGCCGCCCCTGTGTACACCGTTCTCAGCCTCCCCTCGGAGGTGCTCAACTCCATCTTCTCGCGGCTGGAGCCGGAGCACCTCTCCGCGGCAGCGCAAGTGTGCAACAAATGGCTGTCGCACGCGTACGAGCCGCGGCACTGGCGGCGCATCGCGCGCCGCACCTGGCCGGGCGACGACGCGGCCTCGTTGGAGCACATGCTGTACGAGTACAAGACGTGGCGGCTGTTAGCCACGCGGCGGCCGCGGCTGCGCACCAACGCCATCTACGTCTCGCGCCACCAGTATGCTAAGACGTCGAGCCGCGCGGCCACGGCCGAGCCGCAAGCCCCCGTGTTCCTGGTGACGTACTACCGCCTGCTACGCTTCTACACCGACGGCACGGTGGTGGCGCTCACGTCGCCCGAGCTGCCGCACGTGGCGTACAAGCGCGTCCGCAGGTGGCACTCGTCGGCTCTGTCCTCCGTCGACCGCGACAAGCCCGCGCCGAGCATAGGCACGTACGAGCTCGACGAGCGCAGCCTCGACGTGCGTGTGGCGCTGCCCATGTCGCAGCCCAAGTTCCCCGCGATGCGCACGGGGACGATGTACATGCGCTTCTCCCTCGCGGGCACGGTATCCGGGGCGTTCGACCGGCTGTTCCTCACCGAGCACTACGCGATCATGGACCACGACGGCGGGGACGTGGTGTCGTACGGCTCGCACGAGCTGCACGGCAAGCCGTTCCGCCTGGTACCGGTGCTGGGGTTCCGCGACAAGGTGTACCGCGAGTTCCCGCTGGACGACCACAAGGACCTGGAGCAGTGGTACGAGATGAAGCGCGCGAGCCGCGCGGCCAAGCGGCAGCGTGCGGCGAACGGGGCGCAGGAGTAGCGGCGGTCACAGGTCGGGCGGGGCGAACGGGGCGGTGGCGGCGCGCAGTACGTCAGGACGGACGCGCCAGCAGTACTCGGACATCTCTCCATGCGGGTTCTCGATGCGGTCCTGCACGACGCGCTCCTCGAAGTCGGCGTCGAGGAGGCGAATGTGGGAGGCAGCGGCGGCGAGCGAGGTCTCTGGGGCGGCCGGGTGCCAGTCGACGAAGAGCTCGACCGTGCCGTTCTCCGCGGGCAGGGTGCGCTGCACGACCGGGCGCACGGTGAAGATGTCGGGCGCGGGCTGCGAGACGACGGCGGCGACGGTCCAGCGGGCGGCCGGCGGAAGGCGGTAGGCCACCAAGTCGCCTTCGAGGATCGGATCGTCAGGCGCGGGCAGGGAGGAGAAGACGGGCCGCGATGGACATGCCGCGGGGCGAGGTGGGCGCACGTGCGGGCGCGGGCGCAGCAGGGCGCAGTGTGAGGGTTGGAAGGCGGCGGGCATGTTGAGGCGTGCGGTGACGAGTCGGTTGCTGTGGCGGTGTGCGCTGCAGCTGCAGGCAGATGAAGGTGGAGTGGGTTGGATGGACGGTTGATTGGGGAAGGAGCAGGGGACGGGGGTCGAGGGAGGTGGTGATGGATGGATTCGACGGTGAGGTGTGCGGTGGTGGTGTACAGAAGGCGGGCGGAGCGGTCGGACAAAGTGGAGTTGGGGGGTGTTTTTTTTTTTTTTTTTGCCATTTTGGCTTCTTTTGCCCCTACTGTAATTGAGTTTATTGAGAATTGTATTAAAATCACGGTGCATATCGCGTATGATAAAAAACTTTATTTACAACCAGGGAGAACCCGGGTGAGTGTTTGGTACAGTGCCACAGTTATGATCTGATTCGTGTGCTGGGAAAGAGCGTTTGGTAATTCGATCAGTCGTCGGTAGATATTTGGGCTCCGGATGGATGAAGCGTGTTATGGTGATGTGAGGTGTGACGTGCATGTGAAAATGACTAGTAGTTGATGTCAGGCTGATGCAGAAAAAAAAGGAACTGGATACCTAAGAAGTTCTCTGTGAGGTAAACACTGGGCAGCAGGTACAGTATGATAGTGGTAGCGATGGGGGCGGTTGACGGATTAGGGGATAAAACATGTTTTGATGCAGTGCAGTGAGGGGAGAGGGTTTTCCTCTGCTTGTCGGCAAGAGCGGGTAGAGGAAGTGATAGCGTACCGTGTGCAAAGCGATCAACGGCAGTTGATACGGTGGAGCGGTGTAGTGAGGTTGGGTGTTTGCGACGGGAAGATACAGTACCCAGGGTACTGTACGTACAGATTCCGTAGCACACGGGCGACGGAGAGCTGACAGTGAGGGAATATGTGCCGGGCAGGCGAGGATACTTTCGGCACAGTCAAGAGTGAAAAGTGAGCGGCAGTGGTGAGAAGGGGAGGATGGACGGTTCGAAATGACGACGGGGTGGCCCAAGCGCAAGGTTCCGCGGCTTGCGCGATAGGAAACTGGCGCGCAAATGCGACGGGGCGTTCGTGCCGCGGGAAGCCGGCGCAGGGGGCTGTGCGGGGAACGCGAGCGAGGCGTGGGAGCGCGCCGAGTTGATGGCGGAGAAGTAGAGATGGGGTAGAGAAAGTGATCGGGGGTGGCCGTGGTGCATGCGTGAACAGCAAGGGCGAGAAAAGAACCGGGGGAGCCTGTTACCGCGGGAGGGTGCGATATATGGCGCGTAGGCCCGGGCAAGATATTTTGGCACGCGGTCGTCGCTTCGGTGGCGCGCGAGCACCAGCCAATGGGCGCGCGCGCGCGCGCGCGAGATGCGGGCGAGATAGCGCGGCGCGACGCGATTGGCGCCACTTGTCGCAAGCGCCCGCACGCACCCATCCGCGCAGCCACGGCGCAGCCGCCGCTGGCCAGACGTTTCGCACGGCACCCACCCGCCCAAAAGCTAAAGCTTGGGCCTGTTGCAATTGCTCCGGCGTCTCGTCTTCTGCTCTAATTATGGTATATCAAGGCAAGATGACC